ATGGGCCCAGACCCCTGCGCCATAGGATTTAGACCGGCATGCTGACCACTCTGTTGTGCCTAGGTAGGGCTGCGACGTGTTGATCTTCCGAGGCCGGGCATGACCTAGGAAAGTGTGTCCGGCCAAATGGGATCGAGCGTGTTGGGTTATGTGGTGCACCCCTGCAGGGAAGTTAATCTATTCGAATAGCCGTGATCTTCAGTAACAGGACGACTTGGAGTTGTACCTTGATCTTATGACAACTAGAACCGGATACTTAATAAAACACACACTTCCAAGTGCCAGATACAACCGGTGATCGCTCTCTAACAGGGCGACGAGGAGAGGATCGCCTGGTAGGATTATGCTATGCGATGCTACTTGGAGGACTTCAGTCTATTCTCTTCTACATGCTGCAAGACGGAGGCTGCCAGAAGCGTAGTTTTCGACAGGATTAGCTATCTCCCTCTTATTCTGGCATTCTGCAGTTCAGTCCACCGATATAGCCCCTTTACACATATACCCATGCATATGTAGTGTAGCTCCTTGCTTGCGAGTACTTTGGATGAGTACTCACGGTTGCTTTTCTCTCCCTTTTCCCCCTTTCCCTTCTACCTGGTTGTCGCAACCAGATGTTGGAGCCCAGGATCTAGACGCCACCGTCGACGACGACTTCTACTACACTGGGGGTGCCTACTACTACGTGCAGCCCGCTGACGACGACCAGGAGTAGTTTAGGAGGATCCCAGGCAGGAGGCCTGCACCTCTTTCGATCTGTATCCCAGTTTGTGCTAGCCTTCTTAAGGCAAACTTGTTTAACTTATGTCTGTACTCAGATATTGTTGCTTCCGCTGACTCGTCTATGATTGAGCTCTTGTATTCGAGCCTTCGTGGCCCTGGCTTGTAATATGATGCTTGTATGACTTATTTATTTGTAGAGTTGTGTTGTGATATCTTCCCGTGAGTCCCTGATCTTGATCATACATGTTTGCGTGTATGATTAGTGTACGATTGAATCGGGGATGTCACAAATTTCCTCTCCTATACAAAAACTAGAAAGACCCACTCCATTGGTAATTCCATCAATAACACCCTTATCAAAAAACTCTGTGACTTCGGTTAACCCTCTTATACCGAGGGTAAAGACCCTAGTATAGAAAATTTCTATATAACCACGATTGTATGACCAACTGTATATTTTTTACTTGATCTAAAAATTCTTTTTAGGATTTCCTTTGTAAAAAGAGTTTATTAAATCCAAATTCTGAAAAAAAGAATAAGCAGATCCATAGAAGATATATGCTATGAGTAAACCAAAGATAGCTAGACTTACAGAAGAAATTGCATTAGTAATAAATTCATATGAATTTACAAAAAAATTAGAACTTTCCTGGGTAAAGTTTATTGAGGGAGCTAACCACTTTGATAATATGGTTAACTCTGCTATTTCATTATCAATTCCTCCATTATCAAAAGAGATTCCTATGAATCCAATGAACAAAGTGAAAAGTAGTAATATAAGAAGAGGAAATAACATAGTATTTCCCGTTTGATGCGGATAGGAAAAAGTGTTTTTAGCCCCAAAAGACGTAGTAAAGGATCCTATCCTATTTCTTGCATTACCTTGAATTTTTGGTATATTTTGTGAAAAAAAAGAAACTCCACTCTTCGTTGTTGATAAAACAAAATCCCTATTCACTCCTTTGGGTATCCTTTTACCCCATAAGGATATTGAATACATGGAACTCTCTTTAGTGCTACTGTAATTTTGAAAATGAACACGCAAATACCCATCAAATGTAAGTAAATATATCCTAAAGATATGAAAGGCAGTTAATCCTGGAGTAAAGGAGGCTATTATTCCAAAAAAAGGGCGAATACAACCAACTATTACTAAGGATTTCATCTTTGGACCAGAAGCAAGCAACAGGTGGAATACCACAAAGAGAAAGTGTACCCCATAAAAAAGTAGTTCTTGTGATTGGAATGTATTTTCTTAAACCGCGCATAAGAACCATATTTTGACTTCTATCTGGTGAATATCCAACAAGAGGTTCCATTGAATGAATAACAGATCCGGATCCCAAGAACAATAAAGCTTTTGAATAAGCATGAGTGATCAAATGGAATAAAGCAGCTTGATAAGAACCTGTACCTAGAGCTAACATCATATAACCCAATTGAGACATTGTAGAATAGGCTAAGCTTATTTTAATATCTCTCTGAGCAAGAGCTAAAGTAGCTCCTAAGAATAGTGTTATTGTACCTACTAAAGAAATAAAACTCATTATCAAAGGTAAAGATATGAAAAGAGGAAGAAGTCGAGCTATAAGAAAAATTCCCGCAGTAACCATAGTTGCTGCGTGTATAAGAGCCGAAATAGGAGTGGGCGCTTCCATAGCATTAGGTAACCATACATGAAGAGGGAATTGTGCGGATTTCGCAACTACACCAAGGAATAATAAAAAAGCACACAAAGTAGTAAGTAAAGAATTAATTCCATTATTAGGAATCCAGTTTTTAGCTATTTTGAACAAATCCCTAAACTCTAAACTACCTGTTATCCAAAAAAACCCTAAAATTCCTAATAATAGACCAAAATCGCCTACACAATTAGTTACACCAAAAGCCTATCAATAAATAAGAACACATTCCCACGAGTTCGCAAAAATTTTTTGTATCAAATTGGAGCTAGTAACCAATCCCAACATGGAAGTATTGAAAAAACTTATATAAACAAAAAATCTCAAATATCCTTCATCCTGAGACATATAACCATCACTATAAATAAGTACCAGGATTCCTAAGTAGTAATTAGTATTAACATAATAGAAGTAAGTGGGTCAATCAAGTATCCAAATTCTAATGAAAAATCATTATTGATGGTCCAAGACCATAGATATTGATAGATCGAACTTCCATTTATTTGTTGAATAGACAGTTGAACTGAGAATGCCATAGCTATACTTAAGAGTAAAACACTAGGGAAATCCCTTATGCGATGAAGATTTTTTGTTGCTGTCGGAATAAGAATAAGACCAAATCCCATTGACATAATAACTGGAAGTGGGAGAATAGGAATTACCCATGCATATTGATATGTATGTTCCATAAGAAAAGAAATTGCAACTTTTACTTCAATTTTTACTTCAATTTTTCTATAAAATTGTTTCGAATTCACCAAACCAATTCTTATCTCTTTCTGAAAGAATAAATAAAAAGAATAAGAAAAAATACTGAAATTCTTAATTTTTCCAAAATTTATCTCATTGTAACAATTAAAAATTAAGAATGGGTTTAGTTGGTTAAATTAAAAAAGTTAATAAAATAACTTCGTTACGTAGTTATTTTATTAACTAAATAAAGATATTTATAAAAATAAAAAAATTGGAATCATTTTACTTTCTATTCATAATTTATTTTTATATTTCTTTAAAACAAAGGTGAAACAGCTCTCTTGTTCCATAATTAACTGATTGAGTGAATTCCAATGAAACCCTATGTTTATAAGAAATTATCCTAATGACTATAAATTACCTAAGTTTTAGAATGTCTTGTTTAAGAGACTCAGTATTTTTTGTTTTGATTGGAATTCCTTTCCGCTATGGATTACCATTCTGAACTTAATTAACTATTTTCATTTTCCCTTCTTTTTATCCCCCCGTCTTATCTTATATGGGGGATAGGCTTCCATACCATATATCTATATATGAAGTTAGATTTAAATGAGAAACCCTTCTATATATTATATATTATTAAAAACTAGTACAAAATATATAAAGAAAAAATGTTAAAAAATTATTGTTGTCTTATCCGCATTAGACAAAATGAAGTAAAAAGTAATTCTAAATTTAACTATCTTTCAATATCTAAGTATAAATACTAATAAAAAGAAGAAAGAAGGATTGATTTCCAGCAATAGATGTATTTCACATACAACTAGAAAAAAGTAATTTCCTTTTTGAATGGCAGGTCCAAAAAAACGTACTTCAATGTCAAAAAAGCGTATTCATAAAAATATCTGGAAGAAAAACACTTATTTTTCCATAGTACAATCTTATTCTTAAGTAAAATCAAGATCATTTTCGAGCGGTAATGAGCATCCAAAACCAAAGGGTTTTTTGGGCAACAAACAAATCATAAAATTTTGGAATAATATGAATTGACTTATCAAAAAAGAATTCCAATTATTTAATAATTTCGATTCTTCTTTGAATGTACTTTTATGTGTCGAATTACTCGGTACAATATTCTTAGAACAAAAAACCCCTCTTATCTTATATATATAAGAAAAAAAGTTGTGTTTGGTATACTGTGTGCTAAGTATTCTTTTCCTATCAATGAACTTTCCATAATTTTCATAATAGAATCCTCATATTCTATTATGAAAATTATGAAAAGTGGAGTATTCTTACAATAGGACCTACAACTTCCACCTATCTTCTCCAAAATCATAAGGTTAGTAAATCTTATTAATAAGAGCATAAAGACTTTCATTCTATAAAGTTTTAAAAAAAATCCGAAAAAGCCTTTTATATTTATCCTTTTAGTTTCATCATTAAATAGAAACCCTTTGGGATTTTTTTCATTGCATTGAAAGAATTTTCAAAATGTAAACGATAAATTAATTAGAAAAAATTAGTTCTATAATTGCATGTTAGAGAAAAGAAGTTCCAACTCTTTCAAGCAGTGTTTGTGTTTCTATTGGGAAAAGCAAGAGCTTATTGTAAAAAAAATGGAAACGATACTACCAAACGAAGTCTACTTTAATGAAAACTCTAATGTTCCTAAATTTTATGGACTTTCCCAATATCGATGATTCCCAAGATAATAGTTATTATTCTTTTAAGTTACCTATTATTTGAAGTTAGCCGCCATGGTGAAATTGGTAGACACGCTGCTCTTAGGAAGCAGTGCTCAAGCATCTTGGTTCGAATCCGAGTGGCGGCATTCTTGAAAAACAATACAATAGATTAGAAATCAATTCAAAATTTACAATTTCGTAATGGGACCTTCCCCTTATGCTATTTGCAACTTTAGAACATATCCTAACTCATATCTCTTTCTCAACGATTTCAATTATGAGTACGATTCATTTTATAACCTTATTAGTTCATGAACTTGGAGGATTACGTGATTCATCAAAAAAAGGAATGATAGTTACTTTTTTCTCTATAATAGGATTCTTAGTTTCTCGTTGGGCTTCCTCGGGACATTTTCCATTAAGTAATTTGTATGAGTCATTGATCTTCCTTTCATGGGCCCTGTATATTCTTCATACCATTCCTAAAATACATAACTCTAAAAATGATTTAAGCACAATAACTACGCCAAGTACTATTTTAACGCAATGCTTTGCCACATCGGGCCTTTTAACTGAAATGCATCAATCTACGGTACTAGTACCTGCTCTACAATCTCAGTGGTTAATGATGCATGTCAGTATGATGTTATTAAGCTATGCAACTCTTTTGTGCAGGTCCTTATTATCTGCCGTTATTCTAATCATTAGATTTCGAAATAATTTCCATTTATTTTCTAAAAAGAAAAAATGTTTTAAATAAAACATTTTCTTTAGTGATATTAAATATTTTTATGCAAAAAGAAGTGCTTTAAAAAGAACCTCTGTCCCTTCATTTCCAAATTATTACAAATATCAATTAACAGAGCGTTTGGATTCTTGGAGTTATCGTGTCATTAGCCTAGGATTTACCCTTTTAACCGTAGGTATTCTTTGTGGAGCAGTATGGGCTAATGAGGCCTCTGGATCCTATTGGAATTGGGATCCTAAGGAAACTTGGGCATTTATTACTTGGACCATATTCGCAATTTATTTACATAGTAGAACAAATCCACATTGGAAAGGTATGAATTCTACACTTATAGCTTCGATAGGATTTCTTATAATTTCGATTTTTTATTTTGGTATAAATCTATTAGGAATAGGCTACATAGTTTTGGTTCGTTTACATTAACACCTAAATGATTACATAAAAATAAAACCTTCATGAAATGAAGGTTTTTACTTTTATGTTTTATTTGAGAACCCCTTGAACGCCTTCTCAAAGGGTTCTCAAAAATTCGAGATGGATCTAATTATACTTTTTTACTTATTTCTGCATTAATAGAGAAGACGAGTAAAACAAAGCAAATCTATTTAGGATAATAATTGGATAAGAGAGCCTCTACCCTGTCAACGGATAGGGAGAGAACAAAATCTGGATAAATACCAATTCCTATTACTGGTAAAAAGATACAGATTAAAATAAAGAGCTCGTGGTCCAGAATCCACAAAATTTGTGTTTGGAACATTAAATAGCTTGTATCCATAGAACATCTAGCGTAACATAGATAATAAATAAATAGGAGTTAATATCATTCCAATTGCCATTACAAAAGTAATTAGTGTTTTTGGGATTAACAGAAATTTTGGACTAGTAATTAGTCCAAAAAATACTACTAATTTTGTGACAAAACCACTCATTCCTGGTAAGGCAAGAGAAGCCATTGAAAATCTACTAAACATGGTAAAATTTTTAGGCATTGGGATAGATATTCCCCCTAGTTCTTCGAGATAAACAAGACGCATTCTATCAGAAGCGGTTCCTGCCAAGAAAAAAAGTGTAGCACCAATAAATCCATGGGATAATATTTGTAAAATAGCTCCATTGAGTCCAATGTTGGTTATGGAACCAATTCCTATAATTATGAAACCCATGTGAGATACAGAGGAATAAGCTATTCTTTTTTGGAAATTTCGTTGACCAAGAGAAGTTGAAGCTGCATAGATTATTTGGATCACTCCTATTATTACTAACCAGGGCGAAAATAGATAATGAGCATGAGGTAACAATTCCATGTTGATCCGAATCAATCCATATGGTCCCATCTTCAATAATATTCCCGCTAAAAGCATACATGTACTATAATGTGCTTCCCCATGGGTATCTGGTAACCACGTATGTAGGGGTATAATCGGCAATTTGACAGCATAAGCAATAAGGAAGCCAAAGTATAAAAGTATTTCCAAGGTTGCATGGTATGATTGATTAATTAATCTTTCCAAATCTAATCCTGGTTCATTCGAACCATATAAGCCCATACCCAGAACTCTGATTAAGGAAAAAATGGAACCGCCTGCAGTATACAAAATAAACTTTGTAGCTGAATATAGACGCCTCTTCCCCCCCCCCCCACATGGATAAAACTAAGTAAACAGGAATTAATTCTAACTCCCACATGATAAAAAAGTAAAAGGTCTCACGAAGAAAATAATCCTATTTGACCACTATACATTGCGAGCATCAGGAAATAGAATAATCGCGAATTCCGTGTAATTGGCCAAGCTGCTAAAGTAGCTAAAGTAGTGATAAATCCTGTCAATAAAATAGATCCTAATGAAAGTCCATCGATTCCCAGTCTCCAGTGGAAATCGAAGACATCTATCCATTTATAATCCTCCTTTAATTGGGTTAAGGGATCCTCCAGTTGGAAATGATAACAGAACACATAAGTCATTAGAAGGAATTCTAATAAACAAATAGATATAGTATACCACCTAATGAATTTGTTTCCCTTATGAGGTAAAAAGAAAATTAATGAACCTGCAAATATCGGCAAAACAACAAGTATTGTTAACCAAGGAAAATAACTCATGATAAAGTGATAAAGACAAGATACGTTTTGACCAGAAAAGCCCGTGCTCGATTATTTCGAGCACATGCTTCTTCGGTAAAGAGGAATCAGACGATTAGAGTGAAGTTTTTTGTAACGTATCAATAAGATAGAGCCATGCTACGTGTTATTTCAGGCCCTAAAAAATGCGTACACTTAAAAATTCTGTCGGGCAGGCAGATTCACATGTCTTACAACCAACACAATCTTCGGTTCTCGACACGGAAGCAATTTGCTTGGCTTTACATCCATCCTAGGGTATCATTTCTAATACATATGTTGGACAAGCTCGTACACATTGAGTACATCCTATACATGTATCATAAATTTTTATGGAATATGACATCGGATCTATAAATTTTTCTTTTCAACATAAAATTTTTCGATCTGCTAAAAATGAAATTAGTACTATAATGAGTCATCTGTATTGTAGACACCATACGAAGCAATGGTTTATCCAAACTTCAAAAATAAAAAACTATTTTTTAATCTGTTTGTGATAAAGCGTGAAGAGAGCCAAGAGACTTTAATTTTGGATTTCAACAATAAGAAATAAGAAAGAATTTTACGAATTGTACAGACGAATTCGAATTAGCCAATAAATTGTGTATCGTCTTTTCAATATAAATTATTGCAATATTCAAATTGCAATATCCATGAATTAAAAATACAAAAAATCATTTAAGTGAAAAAGAATACTATGCAATAATCTACTAAAAATGGATATTCTCAAATAATACTAAGAAAATAGTATTGATTTCTATTTATGTTAATACATGCGCCTTTCTTTAGAGGATTCTATGTCTAATTATTCAATAAATTAGATTGATTGATACGAGTGGATTTCCTATTATGATGGATGGAAGAAAGAATGGATAGTCCAATAGCGTCTTCAGCAGCCGCAAGGGCTATAACAAAAATTGAGAAAATTTCTCCTTTCAATTGGCGACTATCAAACAGATCAGAAAATGTTACGAGATATAGATTAATTGAATTCAGTATAAGTTCAAGACATATTAGAGCTCTAACCATGTTTCGGCTTGTGATCAATCCATAGATACCAATCGAAAAAATAGACATTCAAAAAAGTACATGTTCAAACATCATTAGCTAACACCTTATCAATCTCGATTCATTTCAATATGAGGGCAAGAATTGAACCGATCCAATTAATTACAATAGAACAATTACACAACAAAAGAGAAAATAAAGGAGGTATTTGTTGGCAGTAGATGGATTTTACTAAATCAAAATTGTGATTCTTTAGTTATTTATTTTAGATTTGCAATTCTTATAATTTGTACTTTTTCTAAGTTTTCTTATTGCCGAGCCAAAGTAATTGCACCTATTAAAGAAACTAGAAGAATTATGTAAATGAGTTCAAACGGAAGATAAAAAGCAGTTGCTAAATGAATTCCAATTTGTTGAACATTATTTATGAGACCCTGTTCTACTAGTTGGTTTGATCTTGTAGTCCAAAGAATTCCATACCACGACGTATCTTGGATAGTAGTCATTAGTGAAAAAACAATAGTTATACAAACGAGTGAAGTGAACACATCTCCAATAGTCCAATAATTCTTATCTTTAGACCATTATGAGCCATTTACGAACATTACAGCGAATATGATCAAGACATTTATGGCTCCCACATAAATAAGAAGTTGTGCGACAGCTACAAAGTAGGAATTTAATAAAACATAGAATAAGGATATACAAACAAGAACTAATCCCAGCGAAAAGGAAGAATAAATGGGGTTGGTAAGTAATACTACTCCTATACCCCATAGTAGAAGAACAAATCCCCCAAATAGCATAAGAATCTCCTGTATTGGTCCAAGTAAATCCATTATGGATATAAAGAAATTAATAGTATAAAATTTTTCATGAGCTGACTAAAACTAAAGGATTCAAGGAAGGAAAAAAGGATTAGGGTATTTTTTGGTGTATAAACTGTATAGTTATAAATTATATTATATCACGAAAATCTAGTCTAATTTAAAATAAGAAATAATTTCCAATAAGCATTAGTTTTTCGTTTTTCTTTATAGTTTAATTTTAAAGTTTAATAAAGAATTATTATATTTTTATAACAAAAAGACAAAATCAAAGTTTAGCAATCAGTAATCGTTCTTGAATTCAAAGATTTTTCTTTGTTTATTTTACTTTCAGACGAATTCCTAATTGTTTGAATTGTGTAATCTCCCATTAATGAGATTGGTAGCTGACTTAAAGAAATTTGGTTGTAATTCAATTCATGACTATCATAGGTAGAAATTTCATATTCTTCAGTCATTGATAAACAGCTTGTTGGACAATACTCAACACAATTGCCACAAAATATACAAACTCCGAAATCAATACTATAATTAAGAAATTGTTTTCTTTTAATATCCTTTTCAAATCTCCAATCCACAACGGGTAAATCTATCGGACATACGCGAACACATACTTCACAAGCAATACATTTATCAAAGTTAAAGTGGATTCACCCTCGAAAACGCTCTGGTGTAATTGATTTTTCATAAGGGTAGTGAATCATTATAGGTAAACGATTTGTGTGGGATAAGGTAGTTATGATACTTTGACCTATGTACCTTGTAGCACGCATTGTTTGTTGACCATAACTCATGAACCCAGGTACCATAGGGAACATATTCATTCTAAATATCTATGAAAAAGATATGTTTCTTTCTCTTGTTTGAGAGAGCTTTTGTGTTGAAAATATTCTTACTATTATTGTATTATCTTATTTATAGTGAAACAAGTTGAGAAGAGGTTGTTAATAAGAGATTGCCCAGGGAAATAGGTAAAAGAAATTTCCATCCAAGATTTAATAACTGATCCATTCTCATCCTTGGTAAAGTCCATCTTATTGTGATAGAAATGAAGAGAAATAAATAAGCTTTAGTTAATGTAATAAATATACCCATTGTCATTTCCAAAATTCCAACTCCTTTATTCATTTGGAAAAAAATTTAAAAAAGGGTATATAGGGAATAGATAAATTCCACCCGCCCAAGTAGAGAACTGTTACAAATAAAGAAGAAACTAATAAATTTAGGTAAGAAATAAGATAAAATAAACCATATTTGATACCGGAATATTCAGTTTGGTAACCTGCTACTAATTCTTCCTCTGCTTCTAGTAAATCAAAGGGTAATCTTTCACATTCTGCCAAATAAGAAATTAAAAAAACCAGAAAACCTATAGGCTGACACCAAATATTCCATCCAAAAACCATATTTTGACTGTGCTTCAACTATATCAACTGTACTTGAACTGTTAGATAATCATAGTCGACGATAAAATCACAGTTCCCACCACTATTTCAAAACCGTACATGAAACCTTAGCTTCATACGGCTTCTCTATGATCAGATAGAGGAAAGGACTGTTTTGTTCCTAGCCCCTGGAGCATAGATAGAATTAGATAAAATAAAATAGATTTGAATGTCCTAAATTAGACCAAAGGAATTCCGTCTGCTAGAATAAGAAAAAGCACTTCTGAATTGATCTCATCCTTTATAATATAATTAAAAAAATTCTTTGTTCAGTAATAACTTAATCTTGGAATAAAACAATTGTTACTTGTTATAGGAATTCAATTAATAAATGGAAAGAGTTGGGTATTAGTTCATGAGCAATTCTGCATGAATATGGATAGAGGAAGGAAATAATGACTTTTTTCTAGTGCACTCCATATCATTTTTACTATTCTTCTTTCTCCAGGGAGGGGGTATTTAAAAAGAAAAATGGATAAAGGGTTAATTCTTTCGTGATAGCCATTTCCTTAACAAGTGAATGGGAACATACTCTGGATCGGAATCTGAAGAAAGTACTACTTGATAATTTCTACAAATTACAAGTCCTTATTATGATTCCTTTTATGGGCAAAAATCTCTAATGTTTTAGATTTTCCATTACTAATCCTTTATGTACTTTAGTGTTCCTAACCCTTCACTAACTTTTAGTGGATTCTTCTTATGGATTATTAAGTTATAGTAATAACTAGGAGTATTCTAGTAATCGAATTCCATATCGTGAATCCTTTATTCTTGGCCGCTTCTAGATATGATGACTAATTAAAAAAAATATCAACCTTGGGATAAAGAGTTTACACTGCTTATGTTTACTTCCACTATTTTCTTGTACGTAGGAAATGAGATTTTTTTTCTTTTTACTACAAATTTATAAGCTTTTTTGTTTCACTCATATAGCTATCTAGTTTAACTTACCAACCCAAATACTAAATAAGAAAAGGAATATAAATAGTTAATGGATTTTATAGGAAAAAGATCTATTTTAGCGAATCACACGTAGGGATATTGCTAGCACACAAAAAGTTAATGGTATTTCATAACTAATGGATTGAGCAGCAGCTCGTAGACCGCCTGAAAAAGAATATTTATTACTTGAGCTATATCCTGCCATAAGAAGACCAATAGGAGCTATACTTGAAATGGCAATCCATAAAAAACACCAATACTAAGATTGGCTAAAACAGAATGATATCCCAAAGGGATAACTAAAAACTTAATAAAACTGATATGAATGCTATAGAGGGTCCAATGCTAAATAAAGAAATATCTCCTCGGGATGGCAGAATACCTTCTTTAAAAAGTAGCTTAGTCCCATCTGCTATAGATTGAAGAAGGCCCAGGGGCCCAGCATATTCAGGACCAATACGTTGTTGTATCGACGCAGATATTTCTCTTTCTAACCACACAATTACGAGTACCTCTATTGTTATTCCCAAAAGGAGGGTCAAAATGGGTAGAATCGATATCAGTCCATAGACTTCTTTAAATAATTCCAATTTCGAAAAAGAATTGATAGTTTCTACCTCTACCCTATCTATTATCATTTCAACGATCAACTTCCCCCATAATGATATCTATACTACATAATATCGTCATGATATCAGCCAATTTCATTTTTTCAACTAGCTAAGGAAGAATTTGCAAATTAATAAACCCGGGTGGATGGATTTTCCATCTCCAGGGGAAAAGGCTGTCATCTCCTACCAGATAAATCCCTAATTCACCTTTTGGGGCTTCTACTCTTACATAAAGCTCTTGTCTTGACAATTCAAAATTGGCCGAAGGTTTTTTACCAAGAAATTTATACTCAAAATCATTCCATTCAGAATTATTTTCTTTCTTGAAGCGTTGGACTTATAAATTCTCATAAGGTCCTCCAGGAAAGTTTCTACAGATTGTTGAATTATTTTGATGGATTCCCTCATTTCACAAATTCGTACTAAATAGCGAGCTAACGAATCCCATCCTTTTGCCATTGGACTTTCCAATCTAATTGGTTGTTAGACTCATAAGGATCTACTTTACAAAGATCCCACTGTATTCTAGAAGCTCGTAACATCGGTCCCGATAAGACCCAATTTATTGCTTCTTCTCCGCTATAAAACCTACTCCTTCAACTCGCTCTAAAAAAATTGGATTCTGTGTAATAAGTTGTTCATATTCAACAACTCCGCGTAAAAAATAATCACAAAAATCTAAACATTTATCGATCCATCCATAAGGTAGATCGGCAGCTACTCCTCCGATGCGAAAGCAATTGTGCATCATTCGCATACCTGTAGCAGCTTCAAATAGATCATATATTAATTCTCTCTCTCTAAAAATATAGAAAAAAGGAGTTTGTGCGTCGAGATCCACCATAAAAGGTCCAAGCCATAGCAAGTGAGAAGCTATCCGGCTTAATTCTAACATAATTACCCTAATATAGATGGCTCTTTGTGGTAATTGAATATTCTCCAAGAATTCTGGTGCATTTACTATTATTGCTTCTGTAAACATAGTAGCTAAAAATCCCACCTAGTTACATAAGGTAAGTATTGTATAATAGTTCGGTTTTCCGTGATTTTTTTCCATTCCTCACCATCGAGAGTAACGATCAGTTGAAGGACACCATGCATTGATGGGTGTTGAGGGCCCATATTGACTATCATGAGACCTTTTCTTGTAAGCGGTAGACTCATATCGTTTCTTCCTTAATTCATTATTCCATGAATTCCTCAAAGCGAGGCTCAACAAAATGAAAAATATAAGACTACTATAAGACTACTAAAAAATAATAAAACAAGAAAACAATTTGAATGATTAACTTACTGCTCCTGAATATTCAACTGACCGATTAATTTCTTATAGCGTACTGTATTTTTCTTCGCCAAATAAGCCAACAAACGTCGACGTTTTCCCAAAAGTCTTCTTAGATCTCTTCTTGATGAAAAATGTTTTTTGTGTAATTCCAAATGTGAAGCAAGTCTCCATATCTTATTGGTGAAACTCAATACTTGAAATTCAACAGAACCCCTGTTTTCTTCTTTTTCTTCTTTAACCATAAATCTAAAAAAAATTCTACCTCCTTTCTTTTTCATGTATTTTTCTAATCAGGAAATATACAAAATTATGTCATATATTTTGGAGTTATTCTAATCTCGTACACACACAAATTTCCAATTATTCATCTACTACTGGAATTTGGATTTATTTTATCGATGCAAATTGGATTTGGATAGAAGGGTACATTCTTTCTAATATTTTAGATAGAAGAAATTTCTTCTATCCAAAATATTAGAAAGAATTTTGCTGATTTATTTATTGCTATATGCAATTTATGGAATTAATACACCATTTAATTGATATCATTTAGGAAAATGAAACACAACATATGCATCCATCTTTTGGATCGAGAATTTCACGAGATAGAGATATGGTATAAGAAATAGACTATTAAGTAACTCTAAATGAATTGTGGATACATCTGTATCCTTAACATACTAAAACGATTGTCATTATTCGTATCAAACCAATAGCGATTCACAC